ACCGACGTGACCCATTGTGTGTGCCCCTCGAGCGTCTGCAGCGGCGCGCCCGTCGCCGCGTCCCAGAGCCGGACGGTGCGGTCGCCCGACGCCGACGCCAGCCGCGTGCCGTCCGCCGACAACGCGACCGACGTGACCCGATCGGTGTGCCCCATCAGCGTCTGGAGTGTGGAACTCCAATGTGGAAATACATTAGGCAGCGCAGAAAACATGTCCGTACGTTGCTGTAGGAAAGCCTTCCGGACAATGCTGTTCACCGGCGTAAAAATGAGTGCAGAAAGGTACAGTTGAAGAGGTGCAAGATCAGCCACATAGCTATTCATTGAAACGAATCGGTAAGCGTCGTTGAGAAAAGCCGACACCTGCTGACTGCAATCTCCCTAGAAGTTCGTCAGCCATGCAAACTGCCCTGTCCAGATTAATACGCTTACCTTGTCGACCTGAGCTTGAAGTCGCACGGTATACAGGATCGTACTAGCTGCTTGTCCTAACCAGCTGATGGCCTCAAACCAATAGAGGAAATACTGCTGCAGAAATCGATCGACGTAATTATCGTCGCGCAAAGTCTCCCCACTCGCGATGAAGTGTTCTGCCCAGAAGCTGGATGTATAAGTCACTCTGGCCGACATCATTTTCGCAATCTCTTCTGAGTTGCAGTCGGTGCGTCGTGTGCCCGGTCTCTGAAATCTGCAAATGTCTTTGTGTAGACCGCCGGGTTCACACATTCGCTGAATGCACTTCTGGGCAATCCTTGCGTGTTCTTTCGACATTCCAGCTGAGAAGATGGTGTCACTGGCTTGTCCAATGATGTAGTCTTTTGCTGACTGATGTACGAAGGATACCACCTGGTCTGCCGGTGTGTCACCTCGCATTGTAAGAAAGCAACCAGAGCGGCGCACGATGTCTGCTATATCTTTTATACTGCAGGATATCTCTTCTGGCAGGTCAGCCACAAATCCGAGCTCGGAAAGCGTGAGTGGTCGGAGTGCGAGTGCGACAGTGGCTAGCACGGCCTTGCAGTACTCGCTGTCATCCGACTTCTCGATTTGAACCATCATGCGCGCGTACAGCGCGTCCATTCCCGGCGGGAATTCGTGCAACCTCCGCCGGACGTGACGATTGGGAATAGCAAGTAGACTCTTGCAAACCAACGCTACCCACAGGAATGTATCGCCTGCATTGTTTCGGAAATATTGCAGGACTTCCTGCTTGAGGAAATCGCCGTAGCCCTTCTCTATAGCGAGCTGATGCACCTTCTGCTCACTGAACATGCGGACGCCATTTGCTATCGTTCCTGCATTCAGTTCTAACCGTAAATGCAGCATCTGCTGCGCACTAGATAGTGTCTCCTCGATTGTCGGCCAGTCACGGCTCGAGTATAGCCATTTCACTCGAGGCGACCGTGCTGAGACCGAAGCGATGAAATGCAGGAGATCTATCAGCTGCGATGTGCACTCGTCGAGCGCGTCAATGACGAAGATCGTGCTGTTCAAGTGTGGATCTTGGAGAATGTCAAAGAACAACTTCGTCAGAACGACCCAACTATTCGCGTCCTCAAACAATGTCCGGCCGGCATGGTGGTGCTGCTTCTCAATGTGTCGTGTCAATAAAGGCTGTTGGTCGACGAGCATGTAAAGAAGTCCGCGCAAGACGGCAACAGCGTTGTTGATTCGCGCGTCTGTTGCTTGGCAGAAGAAGTAGCATAATTGATACTGCTGCAGCTCAGTCCTTTCGAGCTCATCGACAATACTGCAGATGAGCATCGTCTTTCCTTTTCCCGGGTCACCTCTGATCCATAGAGACTGGCAGCCGGCAATTTCACGCCAGCGCTCGAACGCTGGATAGTCGAGGATCCAGTCGCACACTCCCGCTATCAAGCCACCCTTGTCTCCCTCGATGCGGATTTTATCGTCCTTCGGATGTGTAACCCGCAGGTCTCGCATAACACTAGCTTGGACATCGATGGCCTTTTCGAGCTTTTCCATCGTGCTGGCCCATCCTTGTCCGTACTGGATGACTAGCTCGACTTCAAAGATGCCTAGGAGCGCGTATACTTTGTCTTCTTCGTACTTGGTCGTACGACGTTCCATCCAGGCAAATCGTTCTTGCTTGCTAAAGCTAGACAATCGTCTGCCTTGTAGCGCCTCAATAGAGATGCCCGTAATAGCGTGGATCGACTCTTGAAGCGTCATCTTATTGCCGAGTTTCACGCAATCCTGCGAGAAGAACTCGACGGTCTGTGGTGCTAAGAGCTCTTGCAGCGTCCATCCTCGGAGGAACCATTGACTCGCTTGGAAAGAGGATTGCCAGGTACGTTCGCTTTGGCCTGTAGTGTTCTGCTCTGCGACCGACACGTCCGCGAGATACGCGTAGCATTTCGTCGCACGCTGGTACCACCGGAACATAGAGTTCATCGATGCCTGATGTTCGCCATGGAGGGACTTGTCAATACAGCAGGTATCGATCCAGAAGTGCTCGAGATGGTCCTCGAAGGCTTGCTCGGCACAGAACCTGAGCTTCTGGAATCCCTTCTTCTCACGGCCCAAACCTTGTATTATATCTTTGTAGTCCACCTCTTGCTCGGCGTCACTCTCCCATCGGTGCGACAAGATCGCATAGGCAGGGACACTGTCGTCGGTGAAGGGTCCGACCAGCTGAATCTCCCCGCCCGGCAGGCGCTGGAGCAGACGGATGCGTGCGCCAGTAGGACTCATCGCTGAAGTGATCTTCCCAAACTGTGCTTGATGTTACGATGGACATTGTCGTGAATGTCAGAAGGAGCGCAGCGACGTCAGTAATGATGTGCAAGGAGATGCGGGCTGCGGCGATATGCAGGGTTGACGTTGGTGTGAGAGGTCGCACCAGCGGGGTTGCGTGGAGCGGGCGCTTGTGCAGAAAAGACGGCCTCGACTTGGGGCTACTCACCGGTCCATGTCAAGGGTTCCCTGTAAGCTAATTATAGCACATTCCGATTGCTCACCCTAGCTCACGTCTGCTCGGAGTTACATTTTTCTGCACGACCGATGAGTTGGCCGATTGAGCGGCATGTCTTCTCGATGCGATCCAGTCCAGCAGTATCTACGGTCGTCAGAAGCGGCTGCTTTGCTGCGATTCTTGTTGCAGCAGGACGCGCTCCCTCGGCTTGGTTCGGGATAGCGTGAGCCATGTACGTATACGAGTTACTTTTCTTGATTTGTAAGATGTAGTCAGGAACACTCAAGTGCCGTGGATCAGATCGTGGTCCACAGATTACTTGCGTGGATGTGGCGAGTAGATGCGGCGTAAGCCACTTCTGGCGGACATCATTGGGAGAAATTCTGAGTCAGCAATGCCATATCCGATCGGAATCCTGAAGTCGATTCGAGCTACTGCAACGGCAGTGCTCGGGATCACGCAGTATAAGTCTAAACAAAGCAAGACTGAGGATGTAGATAGAATGGTATCTGCGCAATCTCTGAGAATTGGAAGATCTGCATATCAATCGCATTTGCATCTCAAGATAGCGATTGACGAAGGAGCTCGGATTCTGCATGCGAATAGAATTGATTATGGTGCTCGCAAGACAGCCCCAGTTTCGACGCGGAATGGTTAATGGAATGCTGTTACTGTGCTCTATAACTCAAATATGTTGAAGCAAATATATATCTGTTTTGCCGAATGTTATTGATGAAAATCTTCAAAGCCGGCTCGTTACACAGGGTGGCTCGCGACGCCGGGAGGGACATTAGCTTATATTTCGAAAACCCGCACCGATTCTTCCGCCCATTATGCCATCTGCGTTGTTTTCATCTATGATCATTCGCTTCTAGAGTCAATTACATGTTATGTTGTGGTACAAACGTCCGGAGATTTCGATAATGACAAAGATATGATAATATTGAGAAAAAGATTCAGAGGAGAGAACAAATCTTTCCCCCCTTTTTTCCTCGAACAGGAGGAAAAAGAAGAAGGAACCAAAAAGCAAAACAAAAGAAGATTAAACTTCTACGCGGACGTCACAATTCTTTCTTTTCTCGAACTCTATAGTATACCTAGGGAAGAAGTCGAAGTATCTCCGACTATTATTTCTTCTCTATATCTAAATCTTATTTCCTACTTCCCTTATTCTGAATAGCCACCCCCATTTCCGCCCCGAATTTGTTTTGAATCAGAGAAAATAAAGACGATATTTGAAAAAGGGGAGGAAAGGAAGAATAGGAGGAAAGAAGGAAAAATGAGAGAGAGAGATCGTTAATTAAGAAAAGGATTGAATTCTTCGAGGGACTCAAAAACGACGTAAATTATGATGAGAAAATAGATGTAGGCGCTGACATGCCGCGGTCGTCGTCCACGTCCCTTCTCCAAAACAGATTGCTGAAACCTAAACTCCTCGTGAAAATACGGTTTTCGTATCTTGAATCAATCTTCCTGAATCCCGCCTACAGAAGAAAAGAAAAATAGTAAAACCACCCAAGTCACCAACCAACCAACCAACCAAAGAACCAAATCGTATCACCGAAAGGTGATTCCCCCTCAGAGCAATCAAGCAAACAGATACTCCATAAGAACGCCGCTTCCTTCCCTACCTACCATCGAAAACGAGCCTTTGACAATCCGCTGGATCATCATCAAAAGGCGACCTGGATCCCATCAGAAGTAGAGAACCCCAGAGAGAAAAACCAAAGGAGAAAAGACCCCCGTTCCGCGCATCTCCATCTCCCAAGCGGAGAAACGCTTCAAAAGCCCTCGGATTTCCCCTTCCATCTGTCCTGATGGTGGTGGTGGTGGTGGTGGTGGAGACTAATGATAGCCTAAGGCGCGTTTGTGGGATTGGCTGCTGCTGCTGCTGCCGCGTCTTTACCATTGAACGACGAATTGTCCGCCCACGTCAAACGCGGATTCGTCCTCGGCGCCGGCCCGCGAGCAGGTGGGTTGGGAGGGCTTGGTGCCGGGTTTGTTGTTCGGCGTGGTGTCGGGCTTGGTATCAGGCTTAGTATCAGGCTTGGTGGTGTTCGGTTTGGTGTCAGGCTTGGAGTCAGGCTTAGTGCTGCTGGGCTTGGTGGTGGTGCTCGGCTTGATGCTCGGCAACTTCACCGGCTCCCGCTTGACGTGGACATCACCATCGGCCCCATCGAGAGACGCGACGAACTCCTCGGAATCAGCCACATCGGTAGCATGAGCGCTTCGCTTGCCGGCCTTGGAGTTCGCTACGTTGGCGCCAGAGCCAGGGGCCTTGTCTGCGTTCTTGTCGGGCTTCGCGTCGGAGGCGGCAGAGAGAGTCTGCGGTCTCGGGTTCGTAGTTACTCCGATCCGGAAAATCGGGCGGCCGGCGAAGGGCTGGACGATGTTAGCAATGGCCTTGAGCTTGTCTTCGTCCGACTTCTGAGCATCTGCTGCAGCCTTGTCGCCCGTGCTCGCGGGATTGGCGATCTTGGCGATTTGCTCGAGCGCATCGGTCTGGGATTTCTGGTCCTGTGTGGATTGGAGGGCCGTGAGGCGGTCTGAGGCCGGATGGGTAGCTACAACGCGAGCAGCCAAGGTTGACTCGTCTTCGGAGTCTGCTCCAATGTCCCGCGCGGTCTTGGTCAGTGGCAAGGTTGGCTTGAGGTATTGTTTGACGAGGCGGCCGATGTGGCGTAGCTTCCACGAGGCAGGTTCTTTCTTTGCGTCGGAGTCTTTCGAGTCCGCGATCTTGAAAATAGAGGCAAGTCTGTTCTTCGGGGAGAGGTTCTGCTCCTGGGCCATCCAATCAGGTCGCACGGGCACCTTGCGCTTGGACAAGACCAAGTCATCATCGAATTCTTCCTCCTCCAAATCCCTCTCCTGTTCCTCATGTTCCGGTTCATCATCGTGGAAGTCGTCGTACTCATCCTCGTCAACCTCCATGTCGTTCCCCTCGAAAGCTGGTTCAGTACCGTTCTCCCGCTTGGCAGTGCGGCTCCAATACGGAGATTTGATCTTCGTGCCATCGGCATTGATCAAGTCGAGGGTATTGATCTTGCCATAGATGCTGCCAGCCTTGAGTTGAGGGAATTCAATCCTTGCCCAGATGCCGTCCTGAGGAGGTGTCTCGGGGTCCTTTGTCATAACAGTCGCGAACTCTGTACAAGTCTCTGCCATGGTCTTGGACATGTTGTCAAAGTATTTCTGACGATCCTTGGGAGTCTGCATGATGCACCGCATAGGGTTGCTCTTCACTTGCGTCTTGTCATAAAATTCCTTGGGCCAAAGTTCCTGTGAGAGCAATACGCCTGTCAGAGGTTTATTCTGAGATGCGACTTGGGCCACAGTGTTCAGCAAAGGGTGATCTTCCTTACCCAGATGGTCGTGTACCCTTCCTTCTTACCATACGAGCGAGCCGTCTTGCTCAGACCCCTGGTGTAGAACAGACACTTTGATGCTGGTGGCTTCTTGCACATCTTCGAATAGAAGTACTAATACAAGAAATCATCAGTAAGTAGTTCGCCGGAATGCTGCTTTAGCACATGATCGACCAACCGCGGTAGAGTACGTCGAGATCTTGTCACAGGGGACCGTAGTGGTTCGTGCATCGAGATTAGCCTCTGGTTGAGCCAGTGCCAGACCAGCAACACCAGAGGCAAAGGCAGAGGCCGTGACAATGACGTGAGACAAATGCATAATGAGCGTAAGTGTTTTGGAACGATTGAAAGAGAGTGATTGATGCGGTGATGAAAATAGATCGATACTTTCGTCTGGCGAGGCACAGCAGTCTTATAATCTAGTCATCCTCATTTTGCGCCTGTACACACAGATGTGTCGTCTCTTCACCGTGACAGCTTTCGCCGCTGAAGGTGAAGTGAAGCTGACTTGAAAATGCACAACATTGCCTCCGCAGCGCCTGATGCGGCCGGAGGATCATCTCAGAAACCTCCGACGAGACGTGTAAGTCGATAATCCCCATGAAGGAGCCCCATATTCACATCTCAGGGCTCGTGATGGACCACTCTTTCCACGATGGATTTGATCGGATGTACAGTCGTGTTATGACTGGCGCCGCTTATGCTGCTGCACTCTATGGCTGGACACAATCTGGACTGTCGCTGCTTATACCTTGCGTGATGCGCGTGTGCGATCGTCTCAGCCACTTGTATCAGGATGCAGGATCCAGGAGAAATAATTTGGGTCTCATCTGCTTCGCGTTATCTCGCAACGTGCGCGTCGGGCCCCCAATATGGCCATCTTGTGCTGACAAAGTCCTTGTCTGATGTGAGATCCTTCCAGCTTGGGACCATCTTGGCGGACTTGCGTGGTCAGGTTTGCATGGCCCTTGGTCGGCATGTCGTTCTTGAAGGAATGGCCTACTGAATTTCTGCCTCGTGGCTGTTTAGCCAGGGCGAATGGGCCGCACGAATTTGTGGAGACGTAATCACAGCGCCAGTAGGGCGACGGTCATGACATCGAATATGTTGGCAATCGATGCATGGGCGAATTCTACCAGTGAGGCTTAATTTAAAATATGTAAGGTTCATCGGAGGCGTGGTAATTCCTCATGATCAACCACTCGGCGTGGGAACTTGGAAGGTAGTATCATTAGGGTTACCCAGCCTCGACATCGATTGTCAATAAGCAATCTTGGAATCTCGGAAGATCGAATGCTGTCTTTGGCATGGACATACGATTAAAAGACATCTACCGCTGTAGATTGTGTATCTAGCCTAGCAGCCAAATATGTCGACACCCGTAGAAGTCATTGTCACTGAGTATTGGGATATGCACGGTGTCTGGAAGTGAAGGTACCTCCGCAGACACCATCCGGGCGAACAATTAAGAATCTATCTCTGTGATCGCAAACGCCCTGCGAACAACGCAAACAGAGATGGTTAGAGCAGACCTGCTGCCAAAACATTGTAAACTAATTCAACCAACCCCTCTTGATGCCTGCCACTCTACCATACGACCGCATACTATCCGTAGGCTTCCATCACGCGAACAAACTCTTCCAGAACTTCTTCCCATCACCAGAAGTGGGCTGGTAAGGCTTGGTAAATACCCAATCTTAGAAGACTGGCTGCCATTTTGCCGAGCTTGATGAGTCCAGATCTCGTGAAGAAGAATCATTTTCTTGATTTTGATCTTGGTCGCGATCCTCATTGTCCTCTATGTCCTCCTCCAATTTCTCCTGCTGTCGCCACCCCCAGTGTGAGCCCACGAGATTTGAACGTTTGGCTGTTCGCGCTGATAGTATCGATTGAGATGACATTGCCGTCTTGTTGCAATACAGGATACTCAACCATATTCCAGATGCCGTCTGCTGAGATGTCACTGAGATCCTCGGTCATCACGGTAGCAAGGAGAGTGTGAGCATCAGCAAAGCTCTTCGGAATAATCTGAAAACACTTTTCACGATCGGTTGAACTTATCCGATACTGTCACAGTCTCGTCTGAAGCGTGCGACTGGTGGTGCATGTCCTTGCTACAGATAGTCGCAGGATCATTCTCCCGTTGGGTTTGAAATTCACTGAAACATATGACCAAGCTCGAAATTTGTCGGTGGAGGTCTGTTGGTCTATCATCATGACTGCGGCGGCACTGGGCTGTGCCGCTCGCTGAGGCCTACAGGGAATGAAACTCAGCCACGCTGATGACCGTGAAAGACTTGAGCGAGTCCCGTGGCGGCAATGAGATCTTTCGTCGCATCCCTTCTCGCATTCCTTCTGCAACCGGGTCGCAGAGATGGTGTTGACTCTCTACGAAGCAGCCAAGAAATTCAAGTTGGAAGAGATAACCTGGAGCGAGTACATCGATCACCTCATTGCGCGTCTTGCAGGCGAGGGGCATGTCGATGACGACGCAGACAATGACGGACCAGCAGGACCTCTGTTGCTCAACGACATCGATCCCTTGGCCGACATAATATATTGGTGGAGTCAGAACATGGATTGGTACAAAGGCGAGTGTTGCGAAACAACCCAATATCAGTCGCGCGTTGTGCAAAGCTGACGGCCGCTCCTCGGCTTTCCCAGACCCTAAGAAGATCAAACCAATCTTCGAGGCATATCACAACGGACGCATGAATGATGTGCCTGCGAGATTGGAGGACCTAGATTCGCATGAAGATAGAGACTGGATGAAGATGGCGCTCGCATACCTGGCTCTGCGAGATCGCCGAGCAGACTTGTTGAAGTCGCTAGTAAACTATGATCGGGCGACGAACTCGGACGGCTTCCAACACGAGGCCGACTGCGTAGACGAGACGACAGACCCAGAAGTCTTCAAGATTCTCGAGGAGTCAGACTTCCGCAAAAAGCACCCACGGCAGAGGCCTATACACGTGCGCATACTCGTACCTGAGTATGAGTACGATCTCACACGCGAGGAATCAGATGACAGCGCCGATGAGAATGATCCCTTCTACGTCGCTAGATCGCATCCGTTGTGGTAATTGTGGAACGGCAATCGGCCGAGTAAGTAGTCAATCCTAAACGTGAAATCCTTCCTCAGGGAGCCATCCTTCATATCCTGGCGATTCTCATGAGTGAAGTGTTCCCCTGCGCTTGATGTAACTCCCATTTGGCCTCGACCTCAGTATTTGAGTTGTTGTGGTTCAGGCCCACACACTAGGTTTATGAAATCACCTCAAACCAAGCCGAAACAATTCATAATGGTGAGGCCTTTGTTCGAGCTCTTTCGTATACGTACGTTACAAAGGATCCGTATCGACAGCCGCCATCCTCCCGCAGGATTTGGCGAAACGGCTTGGTCACCACAATCCCGGCCCTTCGTTATGCATCAGTAGATACACTCTAGGAGTCGGGTGTATGCGAGCTGATCTGACGCATACGCCGTGCAACGCGCAGGCGACATCAGTGAGGGAATGGCTGGGCGCAGCGACCCTGGGCTGTGCTTAACAACGCAATGCCTCACTGCCATGACTCGATAATCGGTACCTAGGTAGTTTAAGTACGGCAGAATCGGCACTACCGCATGCCTTCCGCGACCTCACCGCACGCTCTCGACGCATATCAAAATGTCGTTAACAATCAATCAAGCAGCGCGAAAGTACAAGTCGGGAGACTTGTCATGGAGTGACTACCTGGACCAGATCCTCCCGCGTCTTGCAGGAGATGGCCACGAAGAAGATGAAGAGGAGCCTGCGGGCCTTGGCCTGCTCGAGCACATTGACCCTTTCGCGTCCTACATTTATACCTGGAGTAAGGATATGGAGTGGTGGCTGGGTAGGTTTCATACTCTCGTGCGGCAATGCGCACAAGCAGCTGACAATCGATGTCCGTCTCAACGCAGATCCCACGATGATCAAGGCATTGTTCGAGAATTATCGCAACGGAGCAGACAAGGATGAAATCAAGGACCAACTGAGCAAGATAAGCAAGGAACGGGATCAAGGTTGGGCTCGAATGTGTCTTGCGCAGTTGGCGCTCGAAGACCGCAAAGCGAATACATTGAAATGGCTGCTGGACGAGGGTGGATTCGGGTACTCGCATGAGTTCGAGCACGAAGCGAACACAGTAGATGAGGGCAAAGATCCAGAGACCTTCAAAGTGCTTGAAGAGTCAAAGTTCCGTGAGCAGTGGCCGCGACGAACTCCGACGCCCGCAAACCTTCGTGATCCGGACTTTGTGTATGACGAAGAGAATGAGTTGTTTGATGATGATGGAGATGAGGGCGATGATGATCCTACCGCGAACATCGATAGTACTCACCCGCTGTGGTGATGCTCGAATGTGTTTGTATCACGGAATAAATGAGAAATTTACGCGCACTTGAAGATGATCTTGCCGTATGCTGGGAACGAAGACGGTGCTTCGACCAATGTCAACATGGTGGAGGAGTTGGCCCAGTCCCGACCAAAGCTGGGCCAAGCTGGAGAGTTTAAATTTAAGCCTGAGGTTGCAAATCATGATAAGTAAGGACCACTGACGCAACTGGCGGCTCTGCGGACCGTCCCTTCTTTCGATGTCCGTCTCCGCATTTCATGTGCCTTTACATGAACAATACATGTATTCGTCAAATCGCGTTCATCTGTCCATACTGGCTGCTCATCGATTCGCTGGACAATGTTGCATGTGATCCAAGGCTGATTCAACTTCGCTTCGGCGGTTGCATGGGAGGCGCATCAGAACGAACTCGAATTACATTCATCCTAATTATCATCAACATTGCTACACCAACAACGACACGTCGGCGGCGATAGGCGCGCACGCGCGCTCCGCCCTGATCGCACGGCACGGCTTTCGCGCAGATCACCTGCGATTCGGATTGTCGCATTCAGCCATAGCCCGCCATGAATCCGGCCGACTTCAACCTAACAATATCTCCATCGCTCACAAAAGCAACTCCTTCTGCAGGTGCAGCCTCGAAGTCATCACTTCCCAATGGCACATCATCGTTAGGCCTTGGCGGGAAGACCGCCGTGCAGCGCGTGGAGCTGGAGGGACTGTATGGACAATTGAAGGCCGCACTAGGTGAAGCTTGGGGTGATTACAAGATAGCATTGGGACAATTTGCTCTGGGATCACTTAGCCAGGCAGAGCTATCATGGGTCCTGCAGCCACTGCTTTGTCCTCCAGCCGCGGCTGGAGCCCCTGCGGCCGAGACAGCAAAAACGACAACTTCTCCTCTACACCTACACAATGCATTTCTCATTGCGCTGTATGCGAACAGCATGCGCGATCCTCCCCCGAACGAGGTTGCGCCATGGGTGGTCGCGACAGATAAGCCGAGCAATGCGGCTAAGAATGCAGGTGCAGTGTCTGGAATCAACGATCAAGTGGAGGAGAGATTAAAACGAGAGGTCATGGCATTGCACAAGCGAGATCGAAAGCGCATCAAAGGGTTGAGCAAGAATGCCAAAACAGAAGACACAGGCTTGCAGGAGATTCTTGATTATATGCAGGAGTTGGCAGTGAAACCCCCTTCGCAATCGCAGGCAAATAATGAAGGCGGTACATCGAGCAATGGAAATGGAGGAGCAAGTGGAGCAGCAGCAGGGCTGGGAAAGACGAATTGGGATATCGAAATCAGGCGGCGTTATGCACAACCGCTTGCTTCAGAGACGCTGGAGTTTCCAACACTCAACGAGATGCAAAACCGCATCGAGCCCATCTGTTTCGAGGAGGGCCTGACTGGGGGTGTACAACAAGGCTCTCTGCAGGGTGTAGCGGAGCTGGTTGAGAGATCGGCCGAAGTTTTCATCAAAGAGACGCTGAGCCGTCTGCTCAGCCACGCGCGCTCAAATGCCGCCGACGGCATGGGCGTGCAGACGAACATGTTCAAAAGACAGTTACGCAAAGAGGAATTAGCCCTTGAAAATGGCACACTCCAACGCAATGCTGCGGGATTGCTCCCGGTGCAGATGGACGCCCAGGTTCGAAAAGACCCCCTTACCGCCTACGATCTGCGATTATCCATGGGCTTATGTGACGGCTTTGTTGATGCCGATCATTTCCTTGAAGAGAGTATCTGGCTCAATCAATACACATTCGACAACTTTGATGAGCCTGTTGTGAACGGCCGGCCAGCATCACTGGCGAACGGCACCATTGAGCCATCGACAGCAGACCAGAAACTAGCAAACAATGATGACGCCGACGCCGATGCTGACGCCGATGCTGACGCCATGACAATCGACGATGACGATTTCGATGTCGGTCAATTTCGAGGTGTGGCAAGCACAGATATTGACATCGTCATGACTGCCCTAGATGACTGCCTCCTCGCCGCCGGCTAGAATCCGGATGTGCAGACGGATTTGTCATCTTCTCGAAGACCAAGTCAGTGCGCCATAGGTGGCCCTCCGATTGGGTTAAATGATTCCAATGCGACTGCAGCTTGCATCTACACCGTGACGACGCCTGTCAAAGACTATCACTTGCGCCTTTCCGATCTCGTCACGTCGTCAGTCTCGAAATCGAAGAAGCGAGGCCGGCGAGCTGGGCAAGGTGAAATAGCTTGCGGAGCGGTTCGCGAAAAGACTCCAGATTCCGCATGCGAACTCCTCGCTGCAAGGAAGAAGGTTGGAAAGAAGCAGTTCGGTGAGGCACACATTGCGAAAGATGAAATCAAGACACCTCTTAAACGTCGCCCCGCCAACATAAGAAAGAGGAAAGGCGGAGCAGACCCTTTTACGATTGGTCCTGAATTTAAGACACGAAAGATGAAGGCTCTTGCATTCAAAGATAAAGAAGACACGATCCCACCTGATCTGAAGTCATGTCAACCGCTTGCGGTGACAAGTCTCCGGCTTTCATCACCAGAAGCGCCCTCCTATCTCGAGATTGATCTTCCGTCAGCTGGCTCTAACGCTGCTGGCTGGCTCGAGTGTCTCCAGAGGAAGCAATACGACAACGCCACGAAACATGCTGCGCCTCAAGCAGGTTGCTCGCAAGCTAGCGAGAGTTCCGACGACGGCTGGGTTCCAACGGCAGTGAATGAGGCTATTCAAACAACTACTAAACGTGGAGCGTTGCCTCTCATTGACTATTCTTCGTTCTTGTCGGATGAACCTACAGCAGCTAGAGCAAAACCTATGACACCACTGTTAGAAAGTTTTGACGATTCAATTGCACTTTGTCCTGGATACTCGCCCTCGCAACAGAATGATGCCTTGACAGCTGCAGGTGGCAACCGCAATCTGCCGATACCTGAATTGTGGAAATCATGTGCAGTAGTGAATGAGCAGCAAGGGAGCGAAGACTCATTACGATCAAGACGGGGACTGGTCATCGCTCCTGTTGATACCCACCTAGCGCAGCGCAAGGCATCGACACCACGAGCAGGTTTGCGCGCAAGGCCTGTGGCGCAACATGAATCTGGCCTGCAAGACACCAATCTTGGAAAGCTGGTGCCTTCTCTTGTTGGTTCACAAGGCGTGCACCTAAGTCCACGACCTGAGGGCGAGGACGTATTTCTCGGACAAGCAGACTCTATGACTTCACCCACCCTCAACACAACGTTGTCCGAGACGATGGCTGCCCTCAAGCGAACCACTGAAGGCCTGCCAGAATTCACTCAGAAAGGACCGAGCTCTTTTCATCGACACACAACCAACATCACACCAAAGCAGCGCCTCATGGATTTGCTAGGCAAAAGACCTTACAATCACAAAATGAAACCCCTTAGAGGTGATCGAGGCGAACAGAACGCAAACCAACACCTCCGTGATGATGTGGGAGGCATGGATTCCAGATCACGTGTGTCACGTGTTGATACGCACCATATCCCGAATTATCAATTTATACCTGAAGAGACGCAAAGCCGGAGCTTTTTCGGGACGAACGCACCAGTCATGGGATCTGATTTCCAGAACACTACATCGAGAACGCAAATCCAGCTAGCGTCGCCTTTTGCCGAGCCAGCTCGGAGACAGAACATTGAGATGCAATCGCCAACCAACCACCGTCCTCCACCGAATGATAGCAACTCCATGAACTCCACGACACAGACCAACCCATATTCCAGTCATACTGATGAGAATATCATGCATTCCGTTTTCGACCTCGCTGCGTCGCAGCAGATTCCGTGGTCATTTCCGCCGATTCCTCAGCATCAAAGGACGGGTTTAGATGAATGATGAAAGAATTCACCTGGCGCGAGACGGTATTTCGATGAAAAGTCAGGGGTCGTCTGGGAGTAGGGTTCTAGAATATCCGTTTTAATCGCAGTCGAATGGAAGCTGAAGGTGGGAGAAATGTGCGAGGATGTGATCCGACACAAGACGAAGTTCGGTTTTTTGAGGAGCGTGTGTATGAATTTCAAGTGGGATTATTTTCACCAAAGTCAAACCATTGCAGACCTGTTTCCATCGTGACTGATTACTTGCGTTTTCGCTCCTTCCTCTTCTTCCTCTCTATTGTCTGTTCCTACATGCCCTGGTCTCCTGATATAACAAGAAGCGGGAGGTTTTTGGAAATGAGATATTTGCCGAGTTGGATTCAAGATCGGTCAGTTTAATAGTCATCATCCCGACGATCATCATCGTCGCCATAACGCCCCTCATCGCGTCCCTCGTCGTAGGCATCTCCGACATTATCGCCGAAGCGTTCCACGTCGCCGACTTTCTCACCCGCCTGCATTTAAACCACATCGTCAGCACATCATAATCCTCAAAAAGGGACTCCCACTTCCTTTCTTGTCGACAAGGAAGAAGGAAAAGAACTCACCCAATTCGCCACATTCTCAGGGGCATCCACGACATCGTTCCAACCATCCTGGATGCGATCTCCAACATTATCGAAACCGTTCTCAATACGGTTCCCAAATCGATCGAAACCTTCCTCGATGTTTTCGGGAATGGCCTCGACCTCGCCAACTTTCTCACCGGTCCAGCGGGCGGCGTTTTCAGGCAAATCTCCGATGTTTTGCTCGAGGCGGTCTTTGTGTTCGTCGAAATCCTCGTCTGGTTTTTGTTGTGTCAACAAGTGAGTTTTCTAAAAATCTGATAGATAGATCGAGAGGCCATGAATGGGAAGGAAAGGGGACTTACGCAATTCATGACCCTCGTGCATCAAAAGCGCTCCGGCGAGGAGTCCTCCCGCCGCGCCCATCGCTCCATACATAAGCCCATGACCGCCCTTCTTCTGCTGCTGCTGCTGCTGCTGACCACCGTATCCTCCTCCACCTCCCTGAGGACCTGAAGGATAACCTCCTCCTTGCTGTCCTCCTCCATAGTAGTTCTGCTGTGGCGGCGGACCACCTCGAGGGAACTCCCAACTCCGCTCGCCAGTCTGGCCGTTGATGAAGATGTAGCGGTTGTCTTGAGGGTGCCATTCGGGGTACCATGGTGGCGGGACGCCTTGAGGTGGTGGTGGGTGGTTGGAGTTGTTGCCGTATTGGTTGTTGCCGCCTCCGTATTGGTTCCCACCTCCGCCGTATTGATTTCCGCCGCCGCCGTACTGGTTTTGAGGTGGACCTTGGTTGTATCCACCACCTCCTCCACCTCCGTACTGTTGTGGAGGACCACCGCCGCCATATCCTTGCGGGGGACCGCCACCGCCGTAGTAAGACATAGCGATGAATGTGATATGAGAATGGACGAGTGATGTGACTAGCGAGAGATATGGAAGCGATGGGCGCAGAGAGTGAGAAATAACAGCAAGGAGAGATGGGACCTAGTCTATGGAGGTTGCTTTGAATAAGACGGATCAGGGGGCTTTTTATATGAATACATAGGCGAGTGTATGTTTCACTCTTTCTTCTTGTTGATCACATCCCGCCGAGCACGTATTCCTTCTTCCTACCTGGGCATGCAGTAGTACATCATCTCCGACGCAGGGACTGTTCTCCTCCTTCTGACACCCTTCGGCCTTATTGTTCCCTGGTGACAGTCCACAGCTGCATCAGGTACAAGCCATCCGAGAGGGGATGAGGTCTTGGGTCGTCGACAGCGGCGGCGGCAGCAACACGTGTACGAGACAATTCCTCCATGTCGCATGTCGATAGGTGAGAGATCGGCAACAAAATAGCGCATATCGCGAGCTCAGCTCCGAACGATCTGCAGTGATAGATTCCATACATTGCCGTTTCACCAGGTACAGTAGCAGCATATGGAGTGAGGGGCTCTGCGCGCGCGCTTCGGAGGAATGTCGTGTCGTTAGTGTGGGGCAGCGCGGAGAGGGACTCGTCATCATTCCGAAACATTAAGGATTTGTTATTATTGTTAGGCGAGATGAACATGAGATGAACCGTGCATGCCCAGATGTGTAATTAATGAATGTGCGGCAGTATCATACGGTAATGTTTGCCCAACCGTCACAAATATTCTCATAGTAATATGTAATATCAAATACTATGATAGCACTATTGTTGATGACGACGCCGACGGATTTCTGGAGGCACAGCCACAGCGTTCATCAGCCCAGTCTAGACCTGAGGCAGGACAATCCGAGCATCAAGATTTTACAATTCAAATCGAAGGAGTCACGAATGCAGAAGCAGGAAGGTGACCGAGAGATAAGCTTTCCCATTCCGCCTCATCTAGACTTGGTACTCATTTCGGAGAAGCAGTGATTATGATTGCCATGGTCACGACATCGGTGATTTTCTAGTGGTCGCTCTTCTACGGCCGAAGTACAGAGTTGATTTCTGACGAGAGCATCTCCGTTCATAGCCCTTCGAATCCACCGTCATCTCCATCTGTGTCGTCAATATCACCCTCAGTGATCTCCTTCGCCAACTCGCGCTCGCGTTCCCTCGCCTTCGCCGCCTCGGCGATCTCCTGACGATGCTTGTTCATTGGGTATCGCATCGCCATGACGCACTCGTCGCGCATGCCCAGGAGGGCGCTGATACGAGCATGGAAGGCCTCGCTCGGCTCGGTGGTGCTGTAGGCGTCCTTTTGCGAAGCGGTGATCATGTGGCCGTTCTGGTGGTCAAGTGAGGCTTCAATCACACCGTCACGAATCGCCTTGGCCGTGATGTATTCGGCGCTTTCCTCACTCTCGACCCCCAAGCGTGTGCAGATATCGCGGAGTGAGATGCGCGAGTATGACAGAGAGAGCATGCGCACACCCGTCTTGATGACGTTCTGGCGGAGGCGCAGGATGAGGGTGTAGGTGCCGTCGGCGCGGAATTGCGCCTCGTAAGCGGAGGTGCATTTCAAGAACGCTTGCAGGTCGCCGACGCGGACGGCCTGTACCAATTTGAAGTAAGGGTAGAGCGCGACCTCCAGGGAAGGCTGTCGGAACACGGAGCGCTCCGGAATGTCTCCCATGAGAAGCTCCACCACAATCAACAGCTTCATCGCTTGTTGATAGAATCCAACAGCAGGACCGACGGTGGGAGACTTGCGAGTGGCGGATTGCAGGTGCTCGTGCGCTTGGGTGTATGCGAGTTGAATGGCGCGAATGCGTCCCAAGTAGTAGAGATAGCGGCAGACTTGGTTGTTCGAGGCTGATGCCGGGAATTGTGTTTGAGCCACTAACAAATCCGCCTGAGTGATGTCGGCAGTGCTAATGTAGTTTCGCAATAGTAGCACGGTCACCGCGGCTTGAGTGTCATTATCTTTGCGAAGGACTGCAGATCTCAAAGCGGCCAGCAATTTTGGTCTCGTCTCGATGACGGGAGATTGCTTTGATGGTGGTCGTGGATCGAGCGTCTCGTGGAATAGCGAGTAGTAGAAGTAGGCTTTGACACCTATCTGATCCAGCGTACGACGGTTCCAGCTACGAATCCTCTCGACAAAGTTCTCACTAAACTCGGCGCCCTTGACGTGCTCTTTGGTATCGTAGAGGTAGACCTGCAAAAGGTCCTAATCAGTATCCAGTAGTCTCATACTCACACTACGCCATGTCCACTGACCTGAATCAATACGCCCAAATATGACCAGATCTCCGGCAATGTCTGCTCTTCCAGCACATCCTTCTCCTTCGCCGCAGAGGCGGCTGCCTGCTTCACAATCTTCGCCGGTAATTGATCCTCCAAGATCTGTCGCCCTCGGTTGGAGGCTTTGGGGTATGCTGTCCGGATGCCATGGATGATAGCTTCGGCGAAGCGATCCGATTTGCGCAGGGTGAAGATGCTTCGTAGGGCGCGAAGCGTGAATCTCGAATCGAAATTGTCGACAGCTTGAACGATAAGCGAGAAGTTGTTCACGATGACTGTTTCAAACCATTGTCAATTATATGGCTCGTATATCGATATCGAGACCTTCATCGTAGACATCAGGCAACGTACTTCGCTCCGGCGGCAGCGTCGATGCTGGACCAACGCTCTCCGTTTGTTTCTCGCCGTTGACGGCGTCTATATCCATTTTGTCGGCCATGGCCGCTCTGTCACGGAGAAGTGTGTTCACAGGGCGGTGGGTTCGGAAGAGACGTGACGGTAGTGATGGTGATCGTGTGCTTGCGTATGTACAGTAATCGCCTCACCTGCGACTTACGGTATCCCGTTGGCGATGATGATGGCAGGCGGCGGCAACAACGGGCAGCGGGCAAAGCTTCACCAGTTCGACCTTGGCGTGGTATCGGCTCTCTTTCCGGGCGGATCTTTCCGTCGCCAGGCACAACACACCCATAGGCGTTCCTCTAAGCTGACATTGTTACCTGTGCCTCAGGAATGAAACGCGCCCTCATCGATCGTCACGTTCTGGATCCACGACAAGGGGTGATTCTCAATGCGCAGACAACAAAATCAGACGCAAGCTAGACGACCAATCGCCCAAGATAAACCCAAAATATAGCACGTGAAGCTGCTTTCCTGACAATACAAGACTGCGATCATCCTGTAATATCAAGACCTGCATTCACGACCCGGCCGTTGCCATCAACTCAATCAAAATGTCCACTCTTCTATCATCACATCTCGAACAAATCTCTCTCTGCGCAACGTCCATTGCGGAACTTCCCTTTCCGGGCCCCAAGATTTTCACAAATGCCTTGTTGGGAAGGCACGAAATTACATCCCTCATCCGAGATACGGAACTCCACGAGCGCGCTCTCTTCCATCTGGCCGCCCCTGCAATTCCAGGGAAGACGTCTGGAACAGAATATGCCCCTGGTGCCGGCAACTCTGCGCCAGTTTCAACCGCTGCTCGTCGACAAACAATGTATGGCGCCGGCGGCCGGCAACCTAAGAACAAAGCGGTCGCTGCGGTGTTGGGAGGCGACCTCTACCGCCGGACGCGTCGGGACGAGGTGACCACAGGTGCGGCTCGACAGAAGGGAGAGGTCGATGTGGAAGTTCTCCTCGAAGGAGCGGAACGTCTGGCGGCGGTATATCCCATCCCCGGCGCAACGGAGAAGATCGCGCATTTGCGGAGAAGACACCAGCAATTGCTTTCGAATGTCGCGCACTACGAGGGTCGGGTTGACGAACAGACTCGCGAACTAGAAAGAATCAACGGTCCTTCTTCGAGATTCGAGAATGATGAAGACGACGATGATGATGAGAAAATGTGTGATGATGATGATTATGATGGTCAGGAAACGACGGTTAATGCTATCGTTGTGACGAAAGAAGATCTCGACCGCGAGGAAGCGGAGATTCGTGAGCTTGAAGCGAAGAAGAAGGCACTCGAGGAGAGGGTCTCAGGTATGGAGCGCGATCTTGGCGGATTGATGCGATGAACATCGAGATTGCTCACGTGTGATTTGATCTTTGCTTGCCGCGCATCAACATCGAAATCAGTTTGCACGAGGTCGAACCGCCGTCGAGATAAAAATGGACTCCACATACTTTGCACCTTTGCACCTTTGGGGCGGAATTTTCCTCTGAGAAAACATCGCTTAATACGGATCCATAGCTGGGAAGTATTTCAAAAGTACTGCCAGCACCAGATCAATGATTTCCACCACACCACCCTCAAGAGCTGGCGCGATGAGTCACGCAACAACAAACACTCATGTGTCAACGGCATACGAACGTTATCAAGCATGCGATCTCAGCCTTCCCAGTCCAAGTCACCGTGGTGATGGTAATGTGCCTTGGAACAACGTGATCGCATTGCGTGCACTGGGGAAACTCCCCAGACCCTTCACGGCGGCGCACGATAAATTGTGTATCCCTCATCGCCTCCTAGTAGGCGCCGTCTTGTCTTGGAAGTCATCGGGGAAGCGCTATCGCTTAGGACGGCTTTTATGCAAACGTCAAATGCCTAGCCAGTTGCATCGCATCACCTGGTTCGTTTCGCCAGGGATCAAACATCTACCGTCTCGCAAATTTACTCGGCCGTGTCGAATACAGTGATTCTGCCAATTACTCCGAAGGCGAGTTTGGCATCGCCTTCGCAAGAGGAAGGCGCCGTATGCGGTGCCTCGCGCTCTTGACAGCCCCATACTTGGATCATTGGAAGGAGTGCGATACAATCACTAACGAAAGGGTGGATGTCGGTACTTCTTGAGTGGTCACAGCAACTTCAGCTGTTGTGATGACTTTTGCTTTTGCGTTCCAAGTGTTCTGGGTGGGAATCTGTCTTGTATCGTCTCATCAACGGACAGTCTCTTTTGTATTGCATGCACGCACATGAAGCCTCGCCCCCCATTTGCCATGTACCGAGCCGACGATTATATGATCTACATTTAGAAACGCCAATGATCGAGATGCGTCCGGACATGTACCGTCACTTGATCGTCTGTAGACAGAGCTGTACTGTCCCGAGGTCCTGCTCGATACAGAGACTGTCATGACTGTATACTCAGCGCGTAAAGCTGCGATCCCTTACCACATCGAGATTCCGTCTGCCTGACACATGTGCCCGCCAAGGCGCTAGAGTGCGCTTGTTGATCATCTTCCAGATCTGAAGTCCACGATGACGAGAAACCAACAACTTCACGCAGCATGTAAGGGGGGAAATGTAAGCACTAAATGCACATCATGGATGGCACCGACAATGATTCGCTCCCGCATCACCCCAGCCTGTGCGACAACGTCATTCGTGTCGTGATGTCCAAGCACGGCGGCATATCGCGTTTCATTAGTGCTTACTGCAGTACATTTCGATAATTTCAATTGCCAAACAGAACCGACACAGAAAGATCTCGAGCTCAGAATGCGGGTGATGTCAGATCGTCTCTGGGCGCGATGGTTGACATACTGACCGTCCCGCTGTGTCTCGTGAGGAGGCTTTCCTGTAGTCAACTATTTTGTATTTCTCAAACCTAGGAACAGACCGCCAGGGCACTGCAGCCATGTTATCGCTTCTGTCGTTGGCACTCAGCGCTCTGCCGCTCGTCGCGGCGCAAGGTCTGGCTGTTTCAGGACCCTTTTTGCCAGGAAATATCAACACCTCAGATGCCAGGCAAGTCTATGACGCTGCCGCGCGCAACTCCGACAATAAACTCGGAACGTTTCTGGCTCCAGGGTTTCAGCTCCTTCTCAATAACAGTATCGCATTTCCTCTATCATGGAATTGGACTACAAATGTTGCAGATATTGCCATTCCGGTTCCTGAAGGCGATCTTGGCCGCCCTGGCGCAGACTATTCCCAAGGTTACCATGTCGTCAACACGCAGCATCGTCTCAATTGGACAGCATATCTGAATGCTACGGAGTCTGATGCGATACGGGGCAAAAGCCTGCAGACGATCTTGCGGGATACTAATGTGACTCTTCAACTTGGATTTTTACCTATGAACTACGCTGCAGGGTTCACACCGATAAAACGAGAACAAAGGACAACAGACTGCGCGGACTCTATCGGACTCCAATGTTGGCGAAGTCTTTCTGAGGCATTTAGCAATTCAAGCAATCGATTTATTCAGACGGACTCACTGCCTGGTTGCAATGCTACAATCGTCGATACGTCGGTGACAAGGCTGAGTAAGTAATCAAGCCCCATCATCTCGTGTCTTCCGCACCAAGTTTTGATAGAATCACGTCTTGGAATAATGATCCGGAAGCTGACTCGGACACAATAGACATGTCGGATCCCCTCCCTGTACCCTTGAACAGCGGCGACAGTTTCTACTACTCTCAGAAACCCCTCGGCAATACAGGCAACAAGACGCTTTTAGAGCGCGAGCTTTCCACTGGTGTGATTCAAATATGGAATTGGGAATATCCGACTTCTAATGGAACCTCAAACGTGGTCAACGTACTATGCTTGCAGGCAAAATCGGCAGCGAGCCTGAGCAGCCAGCCTATGGTAATAATGGCAGTAGCCACGGCGATAGCGGTCGGTATGTTTGTCGCGGTCGTTTGAGCTTGGAAATCCTTGCGCTTTATTCTAGAGCCTTTGTCGATATGTCAATGCTGCGGCCAAAGATCGACAATCAGATACTCCTTTACACTGCAGTATATTTTGCCTGCTATGGGACGAATCCAACATTTTTCCTTCTGAATTTCCGCGAAGCGACCGAAACAGCTTCGTGAAATTTAATCAAAAATTCACGGCTGTACGAAGTTGCCAAGCCTTGAAGGACAGACTCATGCACGCTGCGCCTCGGATCGGTTCACGCATGATCATGAGCATGTATTTGCTTTTCTGGCACGCATGACAACCTAGTAGTCCAGTAAATATCGGATACGCGACAGTCCTGCTATTCTCGTTAAATGTGTGCGCGACGTCAGAGCGACTCGGCTAGATAGTGCATGTACCTCGAAAATAAAAGAATGGAAGAAATATATCAACCACTTTACACCATTATGCAGAGGCTCAAGGACAAAACGATCTCGCACATGGTGTTTGTGTCGCTCAACTCAAAACAAGAATACCTAGGTAGCTTCAAAGCCACGGAACGAAAATGTCAACGCTGCTGATCAGATGGGCAATTGTGCTTCTCCCACTGGACAACCCTTGTACCCTCTGAAGGACCTCACCCCATCAAGCTTTGCTACCTAGGTATTTTAATCATTACCTCTGCACAGGAATGCACCCAAGATGCATGATGAATCGTTTATCCTACATCGTGAACTTGTGTACGTTGACATAAATGCCTATGGATTGATTATCTCCAGAACAAATTGCATCCTCGGCTTGGTGAAGCTTCAAGCAATCACGATTGACGCTTCCAAGATACAAAACAAATTCTTCTCAACGCGAACTCCAAAGTATTAGTTTATCCCGGCTTGTCCACCCAAAACCATTCGCTCTCTATATCGTACCGAGTGACAACGTTTGAGCTTCAAGATCGAAAGTGCAGCCGATGAACTTAGCAATCACCGACACCAGCTACTCATTCCGCGTTCCAGGATCCTCATGGCTCAAGACACACACAGCATGATGTTCAGGATGCCAACGATTCCACCCTTTCTTGAGAGTCGTCCTGTACTCCGACACCGACCCAAACAGTCTTCTCATGTAATCGACACATTTCAAAGAGATGTCTAGGTCTGATAGCGAGTGCTCGGCACCATCAACCGGCCAACCGTCTCGGTGCGAGCGACGACGGCGCGTCGTCTGGTAGACGAGCTCATTCCACTTCTTCCATTGCTGGTACTTTTCCCGATCTTCTTCTTTCTATTGTGTTGCCTGGCGCTCTGATCCGACACGTCGTCTCGCCTTTGCCTCCCAGCGTTACGTATCCTTCCGTCTTGCTTGAGCTCAGCGCTCTTCGTCATCCTCACGCTGCTGTGCGATTTCTCGATTCCTCGCGGCCCTCGCATCTGCTTTTCGCTTTCGTACCCTCAGGCCCTCGCGTTCGAGCTGAATACATTGCCACACATAGCTGACTGTAGATTCCACGATTTCGACCGTCTTGACTACGACAATCGCTGCGAGGTATGTTTCACAGGCGAGATAAAATATGCTTGAGCCTTTGACCAGCCATTTGGGTAAATGAAGTCGGGAGATTGTAGCATGCTTCGCGTGGGCGTGATAATGATTGGTTAATAGAGGAATGGTCGGAGTTTCGTTGAAATTGCTGGAGACAGCCTCGAATGCGCTCGGAGTTGCCATGAGGAAACAAGACTGAGGAGCATCTTACACCTGGACGTGGAAAGGACGAGTCTAAAGAAGGGAGGAATACAAACATATGTGGTGTATCGCAATGTGTTGTACATAAAGAGCGTCTTTACATTCTTGCTGCACAATCAACAAGCTATGGGTCGTCAAACAAACAAGTAAAGTGATACGACAGCTCAAGAAATCTATTCCATCTATCATTATATTAGCAGCTCATTTAGTTCCACATGTTTTGAACCTTGCAAAGAGAATGATAAGCGATGTCACATAAGCGCCTTTTGTTTACATGCATGCTGTGGCGCATCTCCGATCACCATCTTCCCTCCTTAGCGAAGGATCTATCAGCCTCGGCGCCTCCACCAACGTCACCACTCTGATCCACCCCAGCACTCAGAACCTCACCACCATCCTCCGTAGCACCATCCGCACTCTCATCCTCTCCAAACTTCACCACCCTTCTCTTCCATCCCTCTGGAGACTCAGCATCACGCTCAAACGCCACCGTGGGGAAGTAATGTTCATTCTTCTTGAGCGTCGCGACCCAGGGCACATTGTCAAACGTCATGACCTTCAGACGGAAGTAAGTGTTGTCCGGGATCTTGACGACCTCGCGGAGGAATTCTGGCAGAGTTTGCGTCGGGACGCCGTTTACCGCGAGGATGAAGTTCGTCGGGGCGAGGCCATAGGCGTAGGCGGGGGAACCGCGGCCGCGGCCGGACACGTAGATCTCAGAGTGCGCTTTGCTGATCTGTTGGCGGACGGCGTGGTGCGGGGCGTGGAGGAGGGCGCCGCAGAAGACGAGCAGGGAGGAGGTTTCATTGTGGATTGTGGGGCGAGTTGGGATGCGTAGGGTGAGTTCTTGTTGTTGGCGGACGAGGACGGCGGTCAGATGAGGCTGGGTGTACATGATGTCGAAATCGGCAAGATTGGTGATTAATTTATCGTTGAGGGTGAGGAGCACATCTCCTTCGATTAGCTTTCCTTCAGGAATGGCATCCTGGTTTTGTTTGGATGCAGCTGTAGCGTCGGACGAGGTACCCGCTGTTGATGCTTTGGGTCTCTCAACGGTCGTGATCCTGGCATCTGCTCCCTCGCGGCTGATAGCAATAGCCTGGTCAACTAGACCGGTACCCGCAGCAGCAGATGCATTTACAGTCGGCGATGCGTCAACCTTCCTGACCATGAAAAGCTGATGACGAGCAGGGTTTTCGGCCTCGACTCGTTCAATCCAGTCCTCACTGACTCCCATAATTCGGCACTGGGCCATTTGCATCGTTTGTGTTTCCAGACCAAGAATTCGAAGATCCGGCTTCTCTCCGGCGCGAACAGCGTTAATGACTGGCAGCAATGGCGGTGTAGCACAGCCTAGATGGTACTCGGTATCCCGACCGGAGCTGCTGCGATCGCCGAGGTATGTAAGCCATAAAGCTTGAACGACGCCGTTAGGGCTGACGAGTACTCCTGAGCCGCACTCGCTGCTGAGAGGAGTGTCAACAGTGATTGCATCGAGGTTTACGGCACGATAGCGTGGAGCAGGCGCGCTCGCAGGGATCGTCACAGTGGTAATGTCGGTAACAGCTGTCTTTGCAGAAACGGCACGAAGATTATGATTGAAGCCGAAGAAGATAGTCTCTTCGCCCTGTTTGATGGGAGTCTCAGAGAGCTGTGCAGCCTTGACGGGCGCGTTAACCAATTCTGGGTCATATTGAACAATGGCATAATTCTGCAAGGGATGGAGAAAGACAATCTTGCCCGGAATGATGATCGAATCGGCAATGGTTATTGTGATGTCGCACATATCATAGGGCACGATCGCTCGTGAAACAATCACTAGTCCTTGTTCGGCATCGATCACCAGGCCGAAGCCGACCTTGCGTGCGCGTGGGAATCCGTCCAGCTTGACTGGGACCGTCGTTGTGACACGAACGAAGGATCGAATGATGTCGACAGCTGCAGGATGTTTCGAGCCTGCCATCTGTGCAAAGTTTGCCCGCTTGGGCAATAGTGGCTGTGGAGGCAGGGGCTCGCTGAGGTCTGTGAAGTCCCACAGTCCGGTCTCATCGTTTCGAACTGCCATGCGCATATTCTTGTGCCAATGACGATCAATGAAAAGAATTGTTGTAGCCGTGGTGTGCATATCGCGCAAGTGCTTGTAGGTCACAACCACTCGAGCGCGGTCAGGAATGTTTTTCATCACCTCGATGAAAGTATCAAGATCAGGCGTAGGCTTTTGATCGATGGATTGAATTAGCCAGCCATTTTCAGCACCTTCCAGGCGGAAAGATCCGCTGGCCTCACAACAGTAGACGCCTGCATCCTTCAATGCGACGGCATAAAGACGTGCCTGTTGGTAGGACAGGCTGTGAAATGACGCGCCGGCCACAGAGACAAAGCGATCCGGTGTGATGTCGTGCAGGTTACCCACATCCAGCTCCACTTCTAATGGTTGACCGCCTCGAAGAACCATCAACTTGACCTTCTTGCCGGCATTGCTGTCCAGGATGTCGTCTAGAGGAATAAATTGTGTGAGAAGTTCGCCATTCACCTTTACCAGCACATCGCCTTCTTCCAAATGCTTGTGCGCTGGCCCCATTGGCAGAACAACCTCTGCTACAAGCATGCCCGTCTCTTTTGGAAATTGTTTTCGGATCTCGCCCTCCCATTCTGACGTGAGACCAAGACGGCGACATTCATCGAAAGCTTTGAGAATCCATTGGGTTTGTATTGTGCCGCGATCGATCGTCCTTCCTTCCTGTATGCATTTCAACGCTCTGAGAGGTCGGTCCAGCGGCAGAAAATAATCCGTCGCCGCCCCGTCAGCACGCCCGCCCGCTTGCAACGCCACAGCGTAACCATCGATGTTGACCACTGGTGAACCGGACGATCCGCCTGACGCGGCTGCCGCGGCTTGGATGTAATTTGTATTGAAATCGCTGTATCCCTCTCCGTATTCTGGTGCATTGCGATCCAGTCGCGAAATAACTCCCGACAAGATACTCAGCTTTTCTCCTGCGTCGTTACCCACCACCCGAATTTCGACACCGACTTTGGCCAAGTCTGGCCGCAGCTCCAAAGACGCCAGAGGCATATACTTGATCGCCTTCGGGTCGAAACGGAGAATACCAAAATCGTGGACGGGATCGCGGTAGACTGCGTGGACATCGCACTCTTCATGGTTGTCAAAGATACAATAACCCCAGAACGGACCAGCACCGACCACATGACGGTTGGTAAGGATGTATCCTCGCTCTGCGTCGACGACGAAGCCTGTGGCCTCGCTAGAAATGGCACCGTCGGTGTCGAATGAATGTGTCTGACAGAAGTGAATGCTGACGACGTTCCGTACCACCTTTTCAATCATGGCCTGCCACTCCGCCGAATCCGCTGCTGGCAGATCCAGACTCGCCAAGTGGTCCGCTTCATTCTCGCCATTCACTGAGCCTTCTGATCCGTCCTCCAAACCAGTGTCTGGGGATGAATACCCATCAGGCGTGTCTTTTTGTGAAGGGTGAACGCCGTTGTTCAACCGTGGCGCAAGATCGTGATCCATGCCCGGCGTAATAGGACGGCGAGCTTGTTTATGAGGCCGATCGGAGTTCTGAGAGGATGATGGTTGTTTGCGCTTGGAAGCCGGCTGTTCCATATTCTTATATGCAGGCGTGCAGGAGAAGGGCCGGCGACTCAGGAATGGGCTGAAATAAGCGCTGGCGGGTACTCGAATTTGCGACTTGAGTACAATCGGATGGCGCAGGACTCGAGAGGTTATTGGCGACAGGAATGCCGAGTTGATTGGTGTAGGTGATGAGGATGTGATAGCTCGACTCAATTGAGTGCCAACCGCCGGTGATTGTACAAATGTTGACTTGGTGAGGCCAATGAAGTGCGACAATGGATTTCTAGCCGGCTGGCCGAAAGGTTTCAAGCGAAGCATTCAGACGCGAAAGTGATCACACATCTGCGAGCCTTTCATCGACTGCTGTATCAGGATGCGACCAGCGGACAAGGTACGATGATGGAAAATCGAATGACGAAGAGGCAGGACCGCATCACCGCAATGAAGCACGTGAGCCTGATGATACGGGTCGTTTCTTCCAGCTGGTACCTGAATGGAATTCCAACTTTGCTCACGGATCATCCTTAGTCATCACATATCCCTGTTCGCGCCAGCGGCGAGGTCAGACGTCACCGGCGGAGCATTTTGCTGAGCATCTCAGGGCTGACGATGACAACAATCACGCTGGAGGCCTGCACAGATAACAACCAGATGTCCACCAAGCGCCAAGGATCTGTTGTGCGACATCTCCCGTACTGAATGTTATTGTTGTCGTACGTAATCTGCTGCATCGCAAGTCAAATATCGAAACCGAGTACAGTATCCTAGAATTGTATCAAGTCAGGTCAATCACCTGTAGCTCTGCCGGAATCAAGCCATCCAAGAGCTCCACCTCCTTGAAACCTCGTGCCTGCTTGTTATTGCCAGCCACAAACACCACGACTTTGTCTCCCATGAGATCCATCGCCTGACAACTTGTATCAAGATCCCTCACTTTCTCCGTCCCTCCCAATAAAAAGAATTCTTCCTTCTGATTTTGACTTTGTGCTAGTGACATCTCCAGACCATCTCCAAGTAGTGTCCGCGAGTAATAGGCTTGCATGATTGTCCGCATAGTCGTATACTTGTTTCCTTTCATCCAGATTACATCTTTGATTGTGAAGGTGATTGCTCTCCTTGGCACCATGTCTCCACTCGGCGTTGGCATAAGCTTTTGCGTCACTACTTTGACGGCCGGAATCACTGCGATCCAGTATCGTCGCGCCGGCCATTCAAAGCCAGCTCGATAGACCCACGGGATTTGAGGTATGAATGACACAAGGCGGGAATGTAAGCGGTGATGCTTGCGAAATGCTGGTGACATATTCTGAAGCGGTTTAGTCGTTGTGACGTCGAGTTCTCTGGGCGCATCGTCGACGACGATGGCAGTTCTTGTAGGATCCGTCGCATCGACAGCTCGGCGTGGTTTTGGAGAGGGTGAAAGTGTCGCCATCGCAGGAGTGGTGTCGTATCCCGTTTCTGACGCAGCATTGGAAGTGTATACTTCGACCCTTGTATCCGCACCTGTGTCTGAAGATGGAGGCGGAGACGAATACCCAGAAGCCCTGAGACTTCTCCCTTTGCTGCGTCGATCGTCATGGACCTCTGGTTCAGCATCTCTGTTCATATCTGGTAAAGTCGACTCATCGGTGAGTGCGCCAAGTATTGTGTCAGGGGTCTCGTGATTCTCACTGCTCTCGCTCCATTGGACTGCAGCTACATTCCCGCGCGGACTTCGACCTTGTGACTGCTTGAAGGTATTGCATCGGTTGACGGCCGAGAATGGGAAATCGTTGGATAGCACTGGACCAAAAGTCGCTGAAGAAGAGCCCCGACTTGCTGGTGGGATCTCATTGCAATCGAAGAAAGTCTCTGAGCTGGCGTCCGAAGCAGGACTTCCGGGCAGGCTCTCGTGAGCACTTTGAGCTGGGCTTGGTGGTAGAGTGCGAGGAGAAGCTGAGCGTAGGATCTGGCGAGGGCTTTGCGTAGGAGTCTGCGAGCAGCCATGCCAAGTGTCCTCTGATTCCACACTCTCAGCTCGCGGAGAAGGGTTGCTGGTGAGCACGCTGGCCGTGGTGTTAATACTTTCGCTCTCGTGATCATCGTCATCAGTGTGGTCATCTCCGATGTTCATGTCGTCGTCGTTACTGTATTGACCATGATCAGTGGGATTCTTCCCATCACTGCTGTCGTCGTCGTCGCCTTCGTCGTCATCGTCGCTGGGATGTCCTTCGTCACTGATTTCGCCATAGAAAGTAGTGTTCACATCGTCAACGAGATCACTTTCGGCGCCGAGAGCATCGACATAAGTGCCTTCACGTCCATCGTTGTCGCCGTCGGCCAGGAAGGGTGCTTCGGCAGAGATCCCGCCGATTCCGGCGATGTCCTCGGCCTCATGGGAATTGTCACTGGAGGAACGGGGACTTCTATCGCCGAGTCTCTCATTACTGTCAAATGTGGTACTTTCATTGCTGTCGGAGATGGGACTCCTAGCCCAGCTGTGGTGAGGAGCGCCTATGTTTTCATTCTCTATGAAATCATCGACGCCGTTGATTCGAGCGCCGCCCAAATGATCATTGCTTTCTTCATTGCTGTCCCCGCTGCTGCTCTCATTGTCGCTATCGGCGGTGCTATCTTGATCGTCATATTGCTCTGCCATCTCGTCGGTGTTTGTAACTTGCTTATTCGGGCCATCAATGTAACCATCGCTGTGACCATCGCGATGACCATCGCTTTGGTCCTCGCTGTGGTCCTCGCTTTGACCGTTGCTTTGACCGTCACTTTGATCATCGCTACGTTCATCTTCATCAGGGATGCTGATCAGCTCATCGAACATCTGCTCCTCTTCGATTTTGGGAGTTTCTGAAAGCTTTCCGGTTCTGACTGTAAGCATACCAGCATGACTGGTTGCTTTTACACGGCGTTTGATCGGAGGCTGTTCGGTTTCCTCGTCTGAGATAAGGTCCACCACAACCGGTCGCTTTGTTGGGCGAGGCATGGTACTCATGGTGCTTGAAAGGCAGATGGCTGAGAATGGATCGAGGCGAAGATGCAAAGCTGACAAGCTTTGATTCCAAGATCAAACAAAACAGAAATTTGTGTTGAGAACCATTATCATGCTCAGAAGATGTGTCGGTCAGTGGTGGTAGTGATCCAAGCAGCATGTCATGTGTCAAAGTGTCGATTTTCATTGTCTCTTGTTACCAAAACTTATGAGAAATATCACATGATGCGAGGAGCAACGAAGCAGGAATTCAAAGGTATGACTAGTTGGTCGATTGAAGTTGTGTCGTGTTCAAAGAAGTGTCTTGTGAAAGGTTGATTCACACCTGAGAGGGAGGCGACGAACTTGTGTGGTCGCATTCTCAACTTGCAACCTTCCACACCTATGTAGTGATCATGTGGAATCCTTCTGTTTGGTTGGAGTTTGCCCAAAGCATACCCCCTGGAAAAAGCGCATGCGGACGATTGGGAGTAATCGTCAAAACCCACCCGGGCCTTTCACAAGCCAATTCAATTTCCAGAGCTACAAGCAAGCCATGGATGCCTGCAGCAGTCGACACTTGGAATGAAGAGGACTGAGATAGTCGTGTGATCACTCTTCACTGTATCGTTCTCCCCTCTCCAATTTCTATCCGTAACCTCGCTTTGTCTCTCTCCTCTTCTCTCTTCTTTTGCCCGATCTCGCCATCGTGAGACAAAATATCATTCCAACCAAAGATATCACCCCCAACAAAATTTCCACTGGAGGAGCATCGTCACCTAGCACACAATGGAGTCACCCAAGAAAGCCGCCAGTACTCCTCGAGGCTGGACCGATGCAGAGAAAGTAAGTTCCTTCACATCAATCAGTATTCTGTCACGATTCACTCACCTTTCCCGATCTTCTTCGTGCCTTGAAGCCGATCTATAGCTTCTCGCTGTTATATCGCGCTGATCTTGCTCGTCTACGCACCCTCATCACAACCAGGTCGCTGACATATCACAGCTCGGGATCCTCTTTCAGCTCATCTCAAGGCCTATCCCATGGGAGACGATCGAGCTTCCTCCAGGTCGCACTCTGAAGGCTGTCCAAGTCATGATCGACAAGGAAAAGTCCAAGATTCGCAAGGCTCAAGCTGGAGACGGAGAAGCCAATTTTGAATCTATTCCTGTCCCAACTCTCGCCGCCAAAGGCAAAAGCAAAGCAGCGAGCGCTTGCAAGGCTAAGGGTGTTGGCAAGGTGAGTCCAGCCCTATCTTGAAGATACGATGCTTGCTTTCGTCGCCCAATCCACTTAATTGAACTTATGATGGCTCGCTGACTTATTCCCCTTCTAGAAACGTGGCGCCGATGACAAGGTCAAGGACGAAGATCTCGAAGATGACGAAGTCACCGAAAGTCCAATTGCTGCGCGCAAGAAGGTCAAAGCCGCGTCTGCCCCCGCGAAGAAGACATCCAAAGCTGGCAAAGCCAAGCAGGCCACGGTAGAAGACGACGAGTCTCGTGGAGACTCTCCTCAGGTCAAAGACGAAATGATCACTGACGAGGGTGAAGGAGATGAAGAGTAGGGAATCTGAGCCTAGGGGCAGCAGAGGCCGAGCGCGCCGGATACTGGATTGAATCGACGGTCGAGGGTTTCGCTGATGACGTTATGTGTCTCCTGTGAACGGGCGGTATACATCTTCCTAATTCCACACCTTTCGTCGTACGAGGTATTATTGTAGAGTTCCAATCATGCTATGTCGTCCTCTTGAGCACGCCCGTATCGCATATAAACTCCCAGGTTTTCGTAATCACTTCCCGTGGGAAGAATCCAACGCAACTCGAAGACGAAAGAATGATTTCGATCTGCAGTAAAAGAATTCACATTGAATCTCACCTCCACCTTTAGACCAAACCCTGCACCTTCCAAGTCTTGACCGCTGCGTCCGCACCCGCGGAGACAACCTTCTCCTTATCCACCCACGCCACGCCTCCAATGCCGTCTTTGTGAGCGTTCGCCACACGGATCCGTTTTCCCGGATCCGCAAGACTCCAAACACACAAATTCGTATCCAAACCGCCACTCACAGCATTCTTCCCATCCGGCGACCAGGCAATGCTCGTCACACGGGCTGTATGTGCCGACCACCGATTCGTCTCGAGTTTCCACTCCTCCTCACCACTCGAGATGCCGTTGCCGCCGCGCGCATAGACGAAGATTTTGCCGTTCGTGCAGCCTGCGGCAAGATGCGTCCCCGTGGGTGAGAATGCGAGCGCGGAAATCGCCGCGTTGGCATCTTTGAGTACAGTAGCTGCGCCATCAGACCCAGCGGGGAAAATGCTGACGCTCTTATCGTCTGCTCCTGTAGCGATGAGGGTCCCATGAGCGGCAATTGCAGTCGGTGACGAGGACAGCTTTCGCTGAGCGGTGACTTCGCCGGCGGAGGTGTAGATCGCTACACCGCTGGCTATTGCAACGGCTGTGTGCGGTGTACTGTTCAGGTCCACCAATGCGGCGCCCTTGGGTTGGCCGTCGGTTTTTGCTGCACTTCCCGAGAAAGTCTTCTGCGAGGAAGAGGTGTGGCGGATGGTATCGTCCCAGCCCACAGTAGCGACTTTGTCCGACGGCCATTGGACGATGCCAGAGACGTAATTTGAGTGCGCCTCGCCCTGGATGATATCTGCTGATCCTGTCGAGACATCCCAGGCGCGCAACCGTCCCTCGTAACTTCCCGTCCAGAACGTGTTGGTCTCGGCTGAGTAAGTCGTCGCGGTGACGGCCTTCTGGTTGCCAGAGACCACCTTGACAGGACTTGCAGCTCCTTCCTGCAAGTATTTGAGATTGCCCTCGAGGTCGACGGAAATAATGAGACCATCACTCCGCGCTGGCCACGTCACACCGACCTGCTGATCAGAGACACAGGTCGTTCCCTCCGGACCAAATCGCCATGACTGCACGGATTTTCCGATTTCAGCATCCCAGATCTTGACTGTCCGGTCACCACTGCAGGTCACTAATCTCTTGCTGTCCTTGGACCAAGATACTCCAAAGATGCTTCCGGTGTGCTCTCCTTCTCCTATCTGCTTGACCGCTTCGCCTGTCTTACCATCGTACAGCCAGATCTTTCGGTCGGCGCCTACGGTGACCAAGTGATTGCCATCAGGGCTGAATTGAGTGCCGTAGATGAATTTGTCATGTTGAGCGCGTGCGCTGGTGTTGAATTTGAATGGCGCGCCATGGAAGAAGCACAGAGTTGTGTCGTCACCGCCTGTGGCAGCTCGCAAAGGACGCTGTTGACGTATGCTCACGCAATTGATCTGCTTGTTGTGTCCACTGATTTCGCCCACGCTGTTTCCTGAATCGGCCGTGATGCAGTGCCCGAAGCGCTCTTTTCCATCGCCGACCGCAATGATCCTCTGACTATCCCCATCCCATGCGATATCATTGATGCGCCCAGCGATGATCGAATACTCGCCTTTCGTCTGCTCTGCTCCTGCCGCGTCCCATACTCGTACTATGCCGGAGACATCACCCGAGGCAATGTAGAAGCCGGATGGCGCGAATCGGGCGACGGTGGTAGTAGCGGTATGCTGGGTGTATTGTTTCGCGACTGCTGGATCATCTATAGAACGCACAAAGATCGATTTGTTGGACGCGTACGTGATGCGCTCTCCCTTGGCGTCGCTCGAGAGGGGTGTTGGGGCGCCGCGGGTGGTCGTGGGCGACGCAGCCCAAATGGCTTCTGTAGCTGTGGTTCAGTTTCTCGATCGTCCATACTCGTCGGGTTTCATCATGGCTATACCGGCTATGATTGACATTGCGTGGAGTACAGAAGATAGCTTCGCGGTTGTCACCTGTGCTGCTACAATTGAAGAAGCTCCTACCTACCGGTGGAGAGTTTGGCTTCGCCTTCATCAGCCCCACCAACGCTGACGTATCACCTATTGCCCTGACATCGGGACGCTTCAGGGTCATCCTCCTGGCTTAAGGATGAGGGATTTTTTATTTTCTTCGCATACAACCGAACATGACAAGTCGCAAACGACACGCTTCACAAATTCATTTCGAGTGCTAGTCGGTATGCATTAGTGAAGATGCCTTTGTCACGTGATGACAGGTTGGCTGCCGAAATCCCTTCGATGCCCTCATGTGTCTTGAGCGTCGGTGTTCACCAAGGTAGCGCTGTAATCGGAATAATTCCTGACCGGACAAAGCCTGCCCCCTGAGTCGCTTGAAACCTTTCTCACCGTTGACAAAATATCGAGGGCCCAAGATGTTCGGAGAGGCCCAATAATAATGGCAACATCTAGTCCGTGAATTGCCGAACAGTTCGGAGAGAACTATTAGTCGAACGGTCAAATTTAGAAAATCATGCATTCCCAGCTTGGCGTGATTAGGTTTTAGGGCACCCGTCAAAATATACTGTTTTAGGCAAATGATCGCCATGATCGCCACTCAGGACCACAGAGCACGTTGTCATGCTACCTGGAGATCGGGCTTGATGCAGAACTTGTCATTGTTGCTGTAGCCCTGCCTCTTTCGGGAAACATTGTACGGATCGGCGTCATTGTCATCCATAACTAGCGGAAGCCACGGTGACAACGGTGACAACGCTGCGGCTGAAAGCTCAATATAGTGGCAACGCCTCGTATCAAGCATTGCATTGCGCCAAGTCGTCATCGTGTGAAGCTTATGCAATTCGAATGTCACAAAGGATACTTGACAGAGAGACCAGGGATAGAGACTATAAAAGGGAATATATAAGGTGCAGGTCAAACTTGCATGAGACGATCATTCTCCGGCATCATTCGCTTCCAACAACCAATTACGACTTCATCTCACCACTCATTATTCTTCAGTCAAAATAACCACTCAGTTAAGATGTACACTTCAATTCTCATCGCTTTGGCCGCTATCGCCTCTGCCATGCCGGCTCCCCAAGTCACTGTCGGTTCCGGTCCGGATCCTAAACAGGAATTCGCGCTCGCCGTCAGATACAACGGCATCCCTCTCTCGCTCTTCGCGGTCAACAACGGCACCGACAATGAGCGGGTACTTGTCGCTGAACGACTTTCCGCCTACCCAGGTACCCCAGCCTTTGCCAACGTGCAGGATGGAGGAAGATACACCTCGGTCAATCTCGACATTGATGGCGAGTCCTTCGGGTTGGTCGTGAAGCCAGTGGTAAGTCTTTGTATCAATCTTCACACAAAATTAGTGTATACTCATAGAAATCACAGGGTACTTCGTATGGGGATAGTACGACCGTCCTCGCCAAGAAGAACACTCAAGAGTTCGGCTGGTCCATCAAGGACGGTCTTGTCGACCACGCCCGAACCGGTCCATTCAACTTCTTCTATCGTGCGTACCGAGTCCAGCATTCTGCATCTGAATCTTATGCTGACCTCTTTCTTAGTCTGCAAGGACACTGTCAATGACCAGGAGGTGGATGTTCTCAAGTGGGTCAATGCTAACTACAACACTACCGCCCCGGAGGGTTGTGTCTACACTCAAATCTACCAGAACTGCAACGTTGATGGTAGCGAGTACAAGTGCTAAGCGGCTTTATTCGGATTGTCAACTGTATACATATAGCATCGCGTCCTCCTAATATTTGCCGTTATTATAACCTGGTTCCGTTCGTCTCATAGATTGATTAGATAGATTTTCTACAAATCTGTGAATCTTACCTGCATTTAAATTCCATGTCTTTTGACAAAAGGTATTCGAAGCTACAAGATCAGCTGATACATGACAGTGAGGGAGACGGGGCGTGGTGAGCGCAATCTTTGATGGCTTTACATTCGCGTACTAACATGGACAGATGCAGGTATACATCATACCTGCTTCATTAACGTGTTCTTCACCAAGGATCCTGGCTAGGTTTCGATCAGCCTTCGCTGAATCAACATTACCGAACCATGCGAGTTCGCGCAAGAACGCCGGATATTTCTCCTGACAGGCCTCCCACTCGTCAAGGCAAATCTGGTGTGCAACGCTCTTTACAATTCCCAGTCGCGCTCCAGGAACAGTCTTTAGAAGGATCCTGTGATTGTCAAGATCAACAAGGCTGCTATCGCTTGGCACGAGTGACAAGAATAGTGTTTTGATATCCCGCAGTACAGGACGAACGTCGAAATCCTTCCTGATGATCACTTCCGCGTAATCGGCAATACCCTGAGCAGTAGCCACAGCAGCAGCGCTCAGTCACTACTCCTTGAACGCAGGAGGTTTGTCCAAACCTGTCGTGATCTGCTCGACGGCATTATTCGACCACGCGGGCAAGCTCATTCCCCTGATCGCGTTTACTACACCTTTATAGCTGTCCGAGAAGAATGCTTAGCTGGCTGGACCATATGAAAGTGGGCTTCCGATTACTACGTATCCTGAGCAGCCGCTCAGGATACTTCGCCGCGAAGAGTTCGCCGAAGATACCTCTAGTAGATTCTCCTACATAGTAAAACCTACTAAGAACATTAAAAAATAAAACCCCAAATTTTCTAGTTTTATAGATTACCTAACTTCCTAATTAAGTAACCTATAGCCGGCTTAATATATTATACGACCCGTATACGTATAGTATTAAGGTAGCAACTAGTCTTAATACAACTATTACTCTTAGTAGCTTGTGCTCTACCGCAACTTTCTTGCTTTTCTTGTGTCGCTAAAAGTAAGAGGTCGTGACGTTGATAAGCCAAAGGATGCGCCACTTGGGACCCTCGAGCGTCTCTTCGATTGTCTCGCAGGACTCCGAATCGGCAGCTCGCTGCTCCGATGCTTGGAGAGACCTCAAGCACCACCAGATCAAGCCGTACCTTAGCCCTCTGTAGCAAGTCCAACCAACTGTCCAAGCCAGCAATGCCCACATGGTGTTTCGTGCTGCAAGCAATGCCCAATTAGTGTTTGACAGCTGAAGCAATAGCTGGCGAGCATTTTCGACCTCTGAACCCGGTTCCGTGCTGCCCTCCAGGTATCTCTCGATCTCCTGGCGGCGCTGTAGGTTCATTTGAAATTGCGCCTGGGTGAGACTCTGGCCTAGGAGCAAACACCTGTGCCGAACTAGTCAGCAGTCAGGCGCCTGGAGCATGGAGAGTGGGATGTCTAACATTGTCCACAGCACTGATCCCTATCTGCTATCCACAAATTCCAGCTGTGATGGAGTCGATCACATATATTTACTAGCTACATTTGGTTCGGGTACGGACCCTAAGGGGGTCGATCACATGGGGTCGATCACATAGGGATGCCAATGTTTAATAATTTCCAGATGGGTACCCAAAAAAAGCGCAGATTTTGGCGATCAAACGGACATAGTTCTCGTAATTTTGCGACGTTGTTTGGTATGTCGTTGTCGGGGTTGGAAGTAACCCAAAAAAAAATGAAGTTTGCGCGGGAATTTGGGGTTGGCTAGGGTATACAGACACGCTCGCGTCGCGAATGTCACGACGCCGATAGCTGTCAGCGCGCATGCGAGGTGCATATAGTACAGCCATTTGGTACAACATCATGGAGCTATTTCAGAAATACTTCTTACATAACCAGGCTTGCCAGGTCATAATCTGTAAGCAGTGTCAATATGCCGTTAGCCCGGCCCATATTCAAGGCTATTTGTAAGAGAAACACAAGAGCACCACTGTTCGGCAACGAGTCGACATCGCAGCGTTTGTTCAGCGTCTGCCCCATGTCGCACAGACGCCCGACGAGGTTAAGTATCCCGATGCGAGTAGTCCGCCCATCGCCGGCATTCCCGTATATCCCAATGGACATCGATGCGTGTTCAACGTCGACGGCCGCGAATGCAATGTCACATACCGCGAACGCACGGGCATTCAGAAGCATTGCAAGGACCAGCATAATTATCAGAGTACCCGAGCAAAAGGCCGACCGGATTTCGATGCCGTCCACCGTCCACTATGGGAAACGAACCAACCATGCCAACGTTTGTTCCGTACAGGCAAATGGCAAAAGGTATTTCCCGTCCAGGTCGTGCCCCATGCCGGCCCAGCCGTAGACATCGATCATGCCGCCCAAGGCAAGGCATGGATGGCGAAGTTGTTTGCCGATTTTCAGCAGGCGCAGGAAGACGCCCGCACCGAACGGACGCGGTATGAGCCTAATCCATGGTTAGAACACACCGGATGGGAGCGTCATTTATCGAACGATCATCGACGATGGATCACCGAATGCGTCAAGGCCGAGCCTAATGTCGACAAAGTGCAGGCATGTTTAGAAGACGATGCCGCCCCATTCGCCCCCGAATCGGAGCAGGCGTTGTCGCGGGCGTGTGACGGTACCATAGTGTTGATCCGTCGTTCGTTCCAAGCCAGCCGGGTAGAGATCGTCGGACGACATGCGTTGCATTGCGTCAATCGCCGGGAGACCGGCGCCGACAACAACAACACGCCA